AAAAAAAAAAAAAAGTGAGAAAGAATTAGTTTTGTTTTCCAAAAATTACTTAACATTTAAGAAGCAAGACATACTGCTTATTTAGAAGAGTAGGAGGATAAGAATTTAGAGTGAAAAAGGGAGCCAGATCATAAAAGTATGTAAATACAACTACTGAGTTAGTGGGGTTTCATGAGTCAAGAAAAGTTTTGAGAATTGTTTTGAGGAGAATGTAGTATCGGCATTGCTCTTCAGCATGGATCCCTGGAAACTATGTTTCCATCAAGGAGTGAACAATTTTGATTCTCCTCCCTTTTTTCATTTATATTTCACATATAACCAAGGTAACTTCCATCCTTTCCTAAGAGGAAAATGAAAGAAAGAATATATACATTTAGTCTACTTTTCTCCAAATGAGGAGAAAATTCTTAAGATTTTTGTCAACTTATATGTCCATTTTTCTAGTTTATGGTTAAAAGAGGTTTCTAGAGGCAAGTTTAGAAGGCGTTCATTCTCCTAGACAAAATCTATTGTTTCTTTTCTTAGATGACATATTTTGAGTTAATGGCATGACATCTGTTTTCTCTGTCTTTGACAGTTTCTGGTGATTTTTTTCTTCCTATTGTGATTTTATTTTCATCTTTTTGTTTCATTTTATTAGATATTACAAAAGAAAATTCTGTTATCTGGCTCTACTTCTTTAACTTTCCCCCAAATTTTTGCTTTTATTTTTAACATAAACTATGGATGAACTTTTTATAAAGTGAAACAAATATAAAGTGTCATTGCAATTTTATGTCTAGAATGTTCCAAATTCTGAGTCTTGAAAAACAACTAGAAATAGACTACCTACCAGAAACTTTACACACGGATTGAAGGCAATGACAACTTGAATTTGAATAAGTAGTGGTAGTGTCCAACTTCAATGGAAGTAAGGATTTTTTTTTAATCTGAGCACTTGTACACAGTTTAATAACATCCTAACACATTGCAGGAGCTTTGTTAGTATTTGGGGTACAAGTGGAACATAATCTGGTATTTTTCACATGCTTTATATGTGGTAATATGTTGAGTAGAATGAGGTACTTCTCAAGCATTTAAGGAACAAGTTGGATTGAACTGATTATGAGAGCAAATTCTCAAAACCACAGAAAGTACTGGAGAATGTATAATATTTCTGAAAAAAGTATTTTATGTAAAGCTGTTGCCCTTTCGAATATCTGGTTTTCTTTGGTTGCTACCTAGAGATTAGTGATAATATTAAATATATTCCAAAATTATTGCACTACATTTCAATTGGTAGAGATATGTTCTTGAACAGCCATATCTAAATCATTAAGTTCCCTTACATCCACATATCTACCAAAATCTATGGTACAGCGGGAACAATGTCATATAGTGGCTTAAAACACAGGCTTTAGTTCAAATCTCAGATTTTCAACTTTCTACCAAAGTTACCTGGGGATACTTTCTTGATCTCCCTAAGGCTCACCTATGGCAACTCTAAAATGTTTATAATATTAATGTCGAACTTATAGTTTTGAGCATTCAGTGAGAAAATAAATGTAAAGCATTAAGATTGCCAGTATTTACTGTGTTTAATAAATGATCCCTATTATAACTATCTGATAATTATAAACAATATCTTTTTCAAGGAACCAGAGGTTAACTAGAAAGAAGGTATTAAATTGATTGGTTTAATATAACTGAGACTGTAGAAATGTTGGCCATTCTACTTGAAATGCATCTGCACAAGGCCAGCGTATTTCTACTTTCCATACATCCAGCTGCATGCTGGGTAGCTGAGTCAGCAAAGGTCTTACCTACACTTTAAATAAAGCCATCAAAATACTTGGCAGCAGGTTATAAGGACTGGGCTAGCATCAACTTCATTGCCCTAGATATCTATGGGGGAGAGAGGATGTATTAATATGCTGAGACAAGGAAGGAAGGTACTTTGTATCAGTTAATGTTTAAGACCACTAGGCAAGACTTCACCCAGCCTTCTTTATATAAGCACTTGGAAATGAATATGGAAAAGAACGAATCACCTTCTAAATGAGCTTGTCAAAAAAAAGCAAGTCATATTCTTCTGAAGCTGTTCATCTAGTCTGGCTTTATGTTAATACATACTTGGAATGTAATCCAAGTCACACATAAGCAAAAGCAATGACTTCCCAGAGTCTGGTGCTGAGCTACCAGAATGTTCAGTATCTAAATATATAAAATGGTGAGTTTTATTCCTCATGTTACCAATGTGGACTAGAATTAAAAGAGACAACTTTAGCTGCCTAATATTCTCAGAACAATATACCAGTGCTAGGGTGAGGAGATTATGAAAATGAATAAGAGCCAATCTGCTACATTTGGGCATTCATTCTTCCATTGCCTCTCTTCAAAGCTGTCAGAGCTTGTGGATGTATGGATTACAACTCTAAAGAGGTACTCTTCCAGTGTCATTTCTTGCAAAGAGTATGAAATGGAACACGAATAAAATATAATTTTTTTTTTTTGAGACGGATTCTCACTCTGTCACCCAGGCTGGAATGCAATGGCGTGGTCTCAGCTCACTGCAACCTCTGCCTCCC